AGCCAATCGGATGGGCGGGGCGGGGCGAGCGGGGCGAGGCGGGGCGGGCGGCGGCGGCGGAGAGGCGCTCGGTCGCGCAGCGCTCCGGCGGCCGCCGTCATGGCATCCAAGTGCCCCAAGTGCGACAAGACCGTCTACTTCGGTGAGTGCCGCCCCGCGCCGGGGGCATCTTGTCCGCCCCGACCGCCGCGCCTCTGCGCGCCGCGGCGCCGGGCCGGCGCTCTGCCCATGCCCAGAGGCCCGCTGGGTGGTGGCCGTTCCCGCGCGGCGCTGCGGGCGGGGGTGCGCTGAGGGCGCGGAGGAGCCGCTCTCCCGCGGTCGGTCGCGCCTCGCCGGCGCGCGTTCCCCGGCGCCGCCGTGGGGGCCGCGACCCACTGGCGGGGAGAGCCGGGGCCCGCGGCAGGCGCCCCCCGCCCGTCCTGGGCGACGATCCCCCGAGGAGCCGCTCTGGTGGCGGCGGGGCGCTGGGGAGGATCCCTCGGGGGCGCGCGCGGCTCCCCGGCGCTGCGCCCCCCATCAAGGGTGCCCTTTTCCGGCTCGCGGAGCGCGAGTGGCGCCTGCAGATGCGCCTTCCTCCGACCAGCGCGGGCGCCCAGCCTCCCGCCCCCGCCCCGCTGGACAGCCGCGGACGGCGAGCCCTGCGCCCGGCGCCGGCGGGTGGCACCTGCCGGGGATCTCCGGGAGGCGTCCGGCGCACCTGGGATGCGGCGGGGGGGGGGGACTTCCGCGCAGCCAGCAGCCCGGCGGGTCGCTCTCCCGCACATGCCCCGACCGCGCTTCCCTCTCCCCGGTCCCCTTCGCTCGCAGCCGCCCTCGCCCAGCCAGTTTCCTCTGGGAGTCGCTCATCCTCCACATTCCTTTCCCATCAGATTCCCCCGAGAAAGGAAAACAGGCTCCGCTCGGTCCCTGTTCGTTCTGCTCGGAATGCGCTGCTCTGAAGGCCCCTGGCCAGGTTGGCCGCCTTCCCCTGCAGACGGCGGTGCAGAATTCGAGACCAGCCGCTCCTGGCCCCGCAGCAGCCGCCCGCCTGATCCGCCCCCCACCTGTGGGGACAGCCCGGCTGGGGCTGCGGAGCCCTTGAGCGCTGCGTGCACCGAACCGCTAACCTCTGGAGGGCTTCTCAGGATTCCACTGCAGCAGCAATGCAGAGCGGCCCTTTAAGGGGTCGTTATTGCCATTCAGACAGCACTTCGGCACCCTGTAGCCTCTGAGTAGGCAAGCGCGACGGGCTTGCCCCGCCCCTGTGTGTGTGTGTGTTGGAAGCTGATCTGTGCCCCAGGAGCCCCAGGCAAAGGGAAGTCACAGCTGGCTCACATGCTCCTCTGGGAAACCTCCATCGCAAACAGCAAGAGCAGCGAGGCAGGCAGAGAGGAAGGGGCGTCCCAGCAGGACAGACGAGTGCTCTCCATGCACTGCCCACCCTGCTAACTAATTCTGCTCCTCATGCAGGTCTTCTGATGACAGTTTTACAGTTAAGCTGGATAAGCAGCACGCTGGCATTTTATGAGGGGTGATGAAGGCGCAGAGAGGTTAGAAATGTGGCCATCAGTGTGGAAGTGCGTTCCTTAGTGGGCTGAACGTGGCTCTTCCTGAATATAGCAGGTGCCGCGTCCTCCGGGAGAAGCAGCACTTACGCCGAGGTGCTGGTTTGCTGAGACCAGCCTGCCAGTCAAGGGAGGCGCTCGGAATGCAGCCATGTCCCCTAGCTGCCATTTTCTTTCTCGCCCGCCGTTATCAAGGGAACATGACAGCTCTTGTTGAAGAGCAGATGTGTTGGTCTGATGGGCTTTATTTCCAGTCCCCATTCTTAATCCAGACAGCTTTTGTTCGGGGAATTAGGGACTGCTTTTAGAGGACCCCAAAGGCAGCTCCTGCTCACCAGAGCGCTTTCAAATGGAATTAATGTGGGACGCAGCCTTGTTACACCCCGCCAAGCATCTGCTGCTTGCTGAAGATTTGCCGAGCATTGTTCCTTTTCCCTTCCTGGAATTGTTAGAGGTTTGATAAGGCGGGTGACCTCACAATAGCCCATCTGCCTAAATGCTTCCTGCCCTTTTTTGTTAGTGAGCAAACCAGCCAGTGTGTTCCTTTCTCTCCTATAATCTCCAAGTTACCACACAAAGGAAGAAGGAATTGCTGTTTTCTATTTAAAGATGTTTGTGCAAAGGTGACCAACCTTGTAGAATATCTTTAGAGTTGTAGGATTATGCTTTGGATGGGAATAACTTTTCTGTTTTTTCACGACTGTTTCAGGAGTTCAGTTCTCTTCATGTTTTTCTCTATGAGTATGTTTGGAATGACTCCTGTGTAAGGATGTACATAGGAAACATCAACTGAAACCCTAAACGGCCTTCTCAGGAAGGACCTTTGAGCAGTTACTGGTCTAGTTCAGGCAGAACAATTCTAGGAGCTGTGTGTCCTCCGTGCCCCTCCCCTTTCACCTTCGTCAATGCTGTCCTGATCATTTAGATAGATTTTCCCATCATGCCCAAACTTCGAAATGTGTTTCAATAGTCCTAGTGATCTTGGCTTGAGAGGGAGTGCTCAAGCCCCCGTTTTCTGGTCCAGACGTCACAGGAGACGGTGGCTTAAGAAAGCAGTGAGGTTTCTTGGAAGTCAGGCATGTAAAGGCAGAACGAAGGGGAAGGGGCGAAGCGGCAGAATGTGGGTACGTGGCTTCTTTGTGGTCCAGTACCTCATGATCAGCTAGACCTGGATCACTACATTTGAGCTTAGTCAGATTTCTGGGATTTTCTTGCTCTTTCTGGGATTTCTTCGTGGAAATTTTATTCTCATTTAAACTCGTGCGTTCATTTACACCAGAGGGACACCGGACAGCCATCTGAGAGGGATGGCCTGACTCCGTGTCCTGTACTGAGCAGAGGGTTGGATCTGATAGCCTGCTGGCCCCTTCCAGCTCGACTAGCCTATGATTCTGTGCCACAGCAGCAAGAGTTTCTGTCGATATGAAGCCTTTACTGCATCTGGGCTTGGGCAAATTACTGTGTTTTGGACTAAGTCCTTTGCTGATAGCCAAAGGTCCCCAAATACTTCCACAAGGAGATAGTCATGTTTTAAATAGAATGTTAGAAAATTGCATCCATTTTTTCCTCCTGACTTTCATTCAGTGGAAAATATAACAGATGTATTTTGGTGAATGCTCTTGGAGTTTTGTGTGAGGTTAGAACATGGAAAACTTAAAATAATTTTCTAATATTTAGAACAACACTGGAAAGGGAAAATGTCTTATTTTGGAGGAACTAACAGCAAAAAACAAACAAACCACTCTATAGGTGGAACTCCTTGTTGAAGTCATGCTACATGCTACAATTTTAGTTTCTTAATTCTGTTGAAATGGGCAATTGATGTCTGGATTTTCTGAAGCATGTTTCTTGGGGCGTGCAAGAGGGATCTGCCAAGGAGCTCTTGCAGGCTGCTGCCTTTGTTGGCTTTTTTCTTCTTCGGGAGAATGGAGTTTTGTCACATAGGGGTGCCTCCTCCAAGCATTGTTTATAGCAAACACTGACAGCTAAATAACAAAGTAACCGTTAAGTAACTTGATAGCACATTAATTTGACTTACTGTTAATCTTTGAGAAGCACAAAAGAGGTAAAGATGCTTGTGAACTGTTCTTTTCTAAATGGTCTTGGCTGGGAAACCAGTAAGAATGTGTGGGCTACTGCATGAAGGAGGTGGCGAACGTCCAAGAACAAGTTGATAAAAATCCAAAAATGGATAATGTTTGTGCAACGCTCCCGTTCACAAATAGAGATGGAGGGGGGAGGACACCGAGAAGCTTCCAGAACAGAGCTCTTGGCCAAGGTAGCCTGACCGGGCGCTGCTGGCTTTTGGCCTCAGGGCGTTTCTTCTCTGTGAGGCTCCTTTTCCTGGTCTTTGGGCAAATCTCTCTGGCATTAAGTACCTCCTTGTATGAATTTCAACAATTTAGGGGTCAGTTTTCGCCCTGAGGGGTTTTCAGGGCAGTTCCTGGTAGGGTACTGGATAGAACAGAGAATTGGCCGAGGGTTGGGGGAGAGCCTGAATTACATTACAGACCCTGCCCCAACTTACAACAACCTTTTATTCCTCCTCCTGTGAATTCCTTTTGCTTCAGGCACCATTTGCAACCAGCTTTATTCTGTATTCCACCACCGTCTTATTCGCAGACTTTTAAAGCGTTACACTTGTTGCCAAAGAAGCTGGGGAAAATACTGCTGTGTGATGATCTTCTTGCACGAAGGGGAAAAAGTGCGTCCGGCATACGAGGCCAGTATACTGACCCTGCGTTTATGCGTCGCGTGAAAAGCAGACATGGCCACCTTGGCTACAACAAAACTCCCGGTCCATGTAGGGCTTCAGGGCGTGGCGCTGCGGTGGCCAGAGAGCCCGCGGCCCACGTGCGTGGCTGTGGCAAGGAGCGGCAGTGCCGGACGGCCTTCGGTGCTGCTCTCGGGGCCTCCGGCCGCACTGCAGGGTTGCTCTTCGGTTGTTCCTGCAAGAGCCTGCAGGGCGCTCCTGGCCGTGCAGGCACTGCAGGGGCACTCAGGCCCCGATCCGGACACACTTCTTGAAATCCTAGCGCTTCAGTTGAGAGTTTTAAAGGGATTTCTAAAAATATCACATGATACTGGTTTCGCTAGCTGCCCTCATTTCCTTTGTTGGAAATAAGTTGGGATATAAGTTTTTAAGAGACCGAGAAACTGCGTATCACTGAGTGTAGATCCTGAGCCTACCGGGGGTCCCGGCCAGCTTCAAGGATTCCCATACTGGCCCCCTTTCCTTCCCCTTTTTCCTGACTGCTGATAAGTGGGTGAGCTCCCAGTCCTTGTGTAGTTTTTTCCTCCATTCTGAAGGGCAGAAATGGGCTTCAGCTAAAAGATGCCTGCGTTTTTGGTATTTTGGCCCTGCCCTCTTTGCCACTGAAATGCAGCCTCTGAGAGCCGTGCCGAAGAGGAGGGGGGCCCAGGCTGGAGGAGGGTCATGCTCGGATGCCTGGCTGGCCAGGGGCCGCAGCTTTCCAGAAGCAAAGGCCAGCAGGTGCTGGGCAGAGGTGGGAACTGAATGTCAGTGCTCTTTGGTTTGTAGTGAAACTCCAGCTGAAAGTTGAGAGAGACAAAAATATATTTGTGACTTCGATATGCA